AATAACGAAGTACACAATACATCAGGTATTAGTTTGACTGTTTACAAGCAGATACAAAATTATGTTAATAATGTGTCTGTTATGATTGTCACTACTCGTATGTGTCAGGTAAGTATTATGTTTGTGTGTGGTCATGTGTGTGGGGTGCGTGCTGCTTGTTTGTGAGAGTGTGTGTGTGTGTATGTGTGTGTGAGGGTAGGTATGTGTATGAGCCTATGTGCTTGCGTATAGTTGAGACAATCTTTATTATAAGGTTTTAAAAAGAGTTGCGGTGTTGTAAACTGTTAATACTAAAGAAATTATATACATATATAGTCCGAAGTGCAATACTGCTATTATAGAGGTTGTTTTCTTAAGAGAGAATTGAGGGTCAACTTTAGTATTGACTTCTATGTCATTGCATACATACACATGACGTCGCTTTGACATTGCAACTGAATGACCTCTTGCCTCAGGTTTCGGTAGATACTGTTGCAATTGGTACTAAGTCGCGGCGTTTATTTGTATTTGTCGGTACAAAATTTAAATTACGAACACAAACATATATTATTAGTACTTACATTTAGGGCCTATGAAATTGGGGCCTTCCTGAAGAGTATAATTTTAGAATTAAGTATGCTGTATAAGATCAGAGTGCCAGAGTGCTGGTAAATTAAAAGTCAAGCTACGAGTGCAATAATTAAATACTGACTCACCTATTTTTTAAATTGAAGTAGCTAAATACAAAAATTCAAGATGGCTCATTTTTCTACTGCAAAACGAACAAGTTAACCAGGAAAATGAAAACGTTCTGGTTTGGTTTCATTTGCTAACAAACGAGAACTAATTCACTTCGTGTAAATAAAACAAGTGAACTTCATTTGTTTTATTTAATTAAGGTTTCATGCGGTTTCATAAGTCATTTCATTTAACGAAGTGACGTATCAAACCGCTTTTTTGTTCAACGACTAAGCATTTGCTGCAAATTCTAAAGGTCAAAGTACAGAGTCTACTTTAATCTCTACATACAAAATCCTGAATGACTGATTAATCATCGCAGACCCTAAACCGCTGGAGCTAGAAATTTTAACAGCTGATTCTTTCTATGTTTTAAGCACCTACTAAGAAAGGATTAGGGATACCGGGGATAAGGGGGTAAAATATTAACGTGAGCAAAGCTGCGGGCATTAGCTAGTTGACAATATTATTGGTGTCCGTGTGGTGTCGGATTAAGAATACGGAGTATCACGCCCCCTATTCATCCTATGGGAGTCGTAAACGGAACTAACTCTTCAAAACAGCTATGCGAAGGAAAACTTGAAACAAACCCCATACCAACCCGTTTGGCCAGCGAGGTATGGTAGGCCAAAACCTCATTTCTATGGAGAGGCCTCTCCAGCAGTCGTCCATGTCCATGAAAAAGACGATGCCATCAACTACCAAGTAATTTTTAAGCTTGCAACAAAATGTGATTAAGGGAAATAATAATTACTGACGAAATTGTAAGTATTTATATTTAGAATTACCTGTATTGCATATTATTTTCATATATGTATTTAGTTCCCTGTTGGCTTATGGTACTCGATAATAACAAATAAAGTACAAGAGCAAATCTGAAGTTTGTTGCCGGCAAGGAACAAAACAGACTGTTTTGAACAAGTTTTTCTATCTCGTGAAGCCAAGCCCCTTAATATTTTTTGTGTACTGAGAATATACCTTCTTCTACATCATTATGTCGTTAACCACAATGTATTATATATATGTACAATGTATTATATATATGTACATATATACCGTATATATGTACATATATTTTATTTATTACACTTTGTTATGTGTATGTGTATTATTACACTTTGTTTATTATTGTGCCCTTGTGTACATTTTTGTATGTTTGTGAGTGCTTGTATTCTCTCTGTTTTTTGTTTTGATTTTAAAGCTCGTGCACAATACATGTCATCACACAAAAGATGAGTCGTACTGGTTTAGACATGTATTAGTCTATAGACAAATAGACACACAAATTGATAACTGGATTATTTTAAGTGGGTGAAAGGGGTTGTAATTTTACATGAGAAAATTGTTATTTTCAAAGTTACGTCACGAAATAAAAAATAATCAGGCGAGTAAAGCCTTGGGCAATAACTAGTATTCAATATTCATATTTATAACAGGCTGTATATGTAAAAAGTTAAACTTAGTAAGGTCTGACAGGATAACCTGTGTTACAGTATATGTATAGATAAAAACGACCGTCTCTGTGAAAGTGCGGGCTATAGCTAGATCTAATATACTATTTATATCTCTGCGCAGCTAAAATATTAAATATAATTAAAACTTCTCAAATTTACTACTTGAAAAATACAGCTAGACAACCTTCCTTTACGTGAACGAACTGTTAAAAGGTCATTCTCTGCTATTACACCTCTTTTTTCTAAATTAACTAAACAGTCAATGTATAGAAATCTCTTGTATTCTCGTAGGATTAACACTATTGAAATACTTTTTTTTACTTTATCTTCATGCCAGGTATAAAAGGTTTTACAAAAACTTCTAAATACAGACCCATAATAAGAGATAATCCATGAGCGGGCATTTTCCTATTTTAAACAAGGCAGTCCAAATTAAACTCCACTTTTTATATGTATACTGCTCTATTTTGGTATTTTAAATTAATATCTAAAAACATACATTAATATCTAAAATAATACTTTTTGTTTGCTTATCCTAAACTGCTCCTGCCGAAACTCTTTGGTATGGACCGGAAGTTCACAAGTATCATATTCATCAGTACCCTTGGTCTTCTGTGCAGTCGAAGCACTTCTTTGAAAATAGTGCACATTTTAGGGAGTATTCTTAAAAAAAGTTGCTTATAATGTGACGAGTACGTCTGTGAAAAAGTCTATGTGCTGTTGCACATAGACTTTTTCACAGACGTACTCGCCTCATAAAGCACCGTTCTCATTCAATATCTGCCTGCTGTTTTGAATAAGTCCTTGAACACCTAGAAAATATTTTGCCTAAGTCTGTGTTTACAAAGAAGGAAAACTTGACATAAACCCTATAGTATATATATATATATAGGGCCTATACCAACCCGTCTGGCCAGCGTGGTATAGTAGGCCAAAACCTCCTTTCTAAGGATAGGCCTATGTCCAACAGTGGACTAGTAAAGGCTTTTGATGATGATGACTGAACATCTGTTTCTTATTTGGATTTTACTGACAGTCCTGTTCGTCTAGTGGTTAGTGACCCTGACTTCTAAGCAAGTCTCATGTTCAGTACTGCTATTAAATTATTACTTTACTATTTTTTCCTGAAGTCCTGAAGCAAACATTGTTATATAAAGATGCACTCATGAAACTAGAATTGAATAAGGCTGTGTCATCACGCGGTGTGCCCCTGAGAATTTCATGTATTAGATTAAACTCTATCATATTTTCTTCCCAACGCGTAATAAATAATACACACTCATCACTGTGACCTTTTCTCCTGTGCCAAAACAATGGAACAGAAAGTCAGAAAATGTTCACATAGTAAAAATGTGTAACCTAGTGAAGCATACTACTCTACTACTTCAAAAAAGTCCAATATGTTTGTATTTTTAATCTTTGTTTTCTCAGACCTCCGTTATATTTGGAATATTTTTTGGAATTTCATTTCATGGAACATGAACAAATTTGTTTTTTTTTTTAAATTATTTTTGAGCCCATTCAAACTTAAAGAAAAATACGGTTACTATTTTTTGGACCATAAACTTATAAGGGTGAAAAATTAAGGTTTATTTACACTTCATCAGGGTGCGTTGAGGTAGATGATGATTTTTAAAAAACTATAATTTTATTATTGCTAGCAATGATTTGGCATAATTGACAACATAATGTTCACGTAAATATTTTGTATGGTGTGTTTAAGTCTTTAGGCCAAAAGGGCGCAGGCAAAAGCTAGTTATAAAAAATGGACGCTGATGAATAGTAAGCATTGTTGTGTTCTGAGTGGCAGAGCCGTTTTTACCGTGACCTATTTTAAAGTAAGTACAGTTCCAAGATATTTTTAACTGTATACCAAAACCATTTAAAATAGACTAAGAGGATTAGTAATTAATTAAAGTTAATTACAATAAAGTAAATAATTTATTTGTAGATTTTACCGTTATTGTTTTTCACAATAACAAATCTAGTGGTTATAGCCTTTTTAACGATATTTTACTGTCGGGAACCGGGTACTATTCGAGTCAAAGATTGGCAAACTCTGGTAAGAGGGAAAGTAATTGAGGAGCACATATATTACTGGGAGTGTTAGTAACAACTAAGTGATATCTGCCGATCATGAATGTAATAAACATGAAATGAAAAGACTATTTTATAGGTATCGTTTGCATGTTTTTAGGTAAATTACAGATAAATAAATTTAAGGCTATAACATACGAGTACGATCTTATAAATTATATTTATTTTATTATTGAAAATTGTACAGAATTTTGTGAATGCGGTTTTAATTCCGTTTGTTTATCAAATTTGTTTCGCGTTAGTAAACCAAAGAAATATTATAGATATTACTGATATATTTGCTATTATTATCATGTAATAATATTCATTTGTAAATATATACTTAGTGAAAAAAAATGGCCGATGGATTATATGTCTTAAATAGTTTAATTTGTATCGTTGTACACTTTTTCTTAGTACAAAAATATATGTTCAGGTTACACTCTTTATATTTTATAGTAAATTAGATTGGAAACGTCTGGAAAATATTGACGCTAATGTTGAGCACAGGGACCTTTTTTTGAGATCACGAGTTTAAGCCAAGATCAACTTAGAAATTTATAGACAAGGACGAGAAAAGATTTAAGAATATTATTAGGTTGTCTCGTCGCGGATCTCATTTGTCATCTGGAGCAGGAGATTGCGCATTTCAGGTTTGGATCCCATTGTTGAGGACATTCTATTGACTGTTTCTGCCTTTATTTGATGTTAGCTTCTTGCTTGATACTTGTGTTGGTACTTCAAGTTATAATTCTAAGATATAATCTTTACTCCTTCCTATTGACACATAAATAATTTTATGCCGTACGTTATATTAAAAACTTACGTATAGACCTATGTCTTAGCGTTCTATGGATTCACCGTGCGCGTGCAGGGTCCATCGCGTGATAGATTAGGCAACATATGCGACTTCGGCAGTGCCTTAGAATTGCGACCCAGGTATAGGTTTGGGGAGTACTCCTTGCGACGCGTCGGCGCTCACCTTCACTGTCTGTCGTGTTACCCTCTCTCCCTAACCATATTTGATACGAGCCTAGCAATACCGCTTTGGATATTCGTTCAAGAAATGAACTTACTGAAGCTCTTGGCAATCCAAGGTATTTAAGCAGGTTATAGAGGGATTTAGCTGGTATACCCCTCGCACCTACTTCCACGGCATCCAACGCAACGACATAACCATTTATGTTATTTCGTTGGTTAAGTCAAAGTACTTGTTTCTTTTTGAAGCGTGGTCTTTAGGGATGTTCATTTCCCACAGCACCGTGAGTTCTACTAGTACTACACGCTTAATTGAAATTTCATAAAGAAATATGTCTGGTCTGGACGCCGCGGCACAGATATCCCTGCGGTATTCTGTAATGATTTTCATACGTGTCCAGTAATAATGTCCAGTTACTGGCGGTATTTATAATTGAGTACGGCTTTTGTGAAGTCTTTTTTGTTTATTTTGTAGGTTAGAAATGTGTAATCTATATAAAATTCAAAATATACCTACAACATTAAAGCCGCCACTTAGTCAGATAGAATTAGCGAATCTACGAACGTAATTAATACCTCTTTTTTTTATCCGTTAGTTAACAACGTTACGATTAACATATTTCATTTCAGCGCGGATTCGTTCGTGATAACATTGTCATAAAAATTACAAAAACTGTCAAAAACGGTTTATCGCGCTTAACAGGAAAACTTCAAATCTTACAAAGAAAGTGCAAATGTACAAAAATGAGCAATAAAAAGACAAACAAAATGAGAGAGAGAGAAAAACTACTCAACTAAAACTATTCAACCAGAATAGTTTTTGTTTTGCAAATTGCAAAATACCGCGTTTTAAATCCATTTAAAAAAAATATAACTTGCGTTCTAATCAATATTAAGACCGCAAATTTGGTGAGAATTTGGGTTTTGTAGCCTCCAGTTCACGATTTTCAGACCCATTTTCCCCTAATTCTATCCGACTATCTGTACAAAGTCGAAATATACGACATTCATAATAATTACAAGACAAAAATACACTTACATTATGTCCAACATCCATCGGAGCCAGAAGTGGCAGTTCACGTGTTCTCGGCTTCCGCCACATTAGAACGAATGCAGCAATGAGAAGCACTATTCCTGCACCAATCACAGCCCCCAAAGCCGCACTCCAAACATTTCCGTGCACTTCCCACAAGCCTGGTCGTCCTCCCATTCTCGCTTCAGGAACAAGGACATCAACAGTTTTAGTTGTAGAATCCATATTATCAATGTTTTTTTCTATGTTGTTCAATATGTACTTCCATGCCGACTCGTGCCCGCGCCTCTCTGCCCATGGCTTATCTGTTGATAACGAAATTAGCTACGTATAATAGTAACATCGATCCATGGTGAGGCATGGTATTATGTACTTCATGTTTAATGGAAAATTACGTATGTTATGAATCTATAGAGCTATGTGCATGTTGATATGTGTTATTCGTATTGCTCTGGAACGAAAACGATTAAGCGTTAGAATGACAATTCCTTCAACGCCTTTATTATATATTCGTGTATGAGTGTTCTATTTTGATACCTTTATTATTTGTTTCAATATGTCTCACATTTCCCTACTTTTAACTTTAAGACAACATTAACTAAAATATCAAATGAATGAATAGGTACTCGAATACAATTACATAACGAAAAATAGCTTCTAATAAGATTATTTGAGGATTGTGTACTTATAAAGATTCCATAGTTTAAGTATACACACATACGTATAATGGTTTTAATAACAAAAGTAACCACGTCAACATAACTACAAAAGCGCAGAAATATGAAAGCAATTCCTGAAATCAAACTCGTGTTTCCTCAAAGTGAAACGGTCCCATTACATTATGTAGATACCGAACTAACATCACGCGTCACTTATGATGCCGTTTACGCACGAAATACCTTTCAGTTTTATCACTCGCATGCCTAATATTAACACTAATAAAAAACCAAGAAATGTCAATAAGTTTACTTAAAAATTCGATACGATAAAAAAAAGTCTTATACAATAGAAAAAATGCAGCGAAAATAAAAAGCAAAAACAAAAAACAAGTACAAAAAGCTTATATTATCCAAAAAAAAGAAAGAGAAGAGAACTTACCCATAAGTGGAATGTATGTTGTTTTGAATGCAACCTCTTCGATATTCAACTGGTTAGACACGTGCGTAGGGCGGGCGGGCGCGCGCGACTGGCCGGCGGCAGCTCTTCTTATCATTAAAGCGACTTGTTTACCCCGACGGGACGCCGTGATCTGTGTCGTGATGTTAACTTTATTGCGCCAAAGTAATCGCACCGTCGACTGCGACGCATCTTACATACATCACCATATTTTAGCTGGAAGTAAATTGTGTTTACAGCAAAATTTGTAGTGATAAATACCTAACACCTAATTTAAACTGACGTTCGAAAAAATGTACAAGCGTTAAAATTTAGCCTCAGAAGTTTTCTAACAATTAGCTACATAAACGTTACGAATTTGTAGTGATAGGTTTTTATTTTAATTTGAAAATGCGTACGTTTTTATTCAACTTCATTTTAATTTTTATCCAGAATAAAGATGAAAATTCTTAACGAATTTAATTTTATTCTGATACCAAAACAAATTAGATACTTCAATTTCCTATATTTTATTAAAACCATCGATTCGTTTGTGCAAATCGAGTATCTTTCCAGGGAAGGGAAATACAATACTTCACTTTGAGCTAATATCTTTATATCAAATGCACTCATAATGGAATGTTTTTATTTTCATACTCACACTCATTACACTCATTATTTTAATAAAAATATTTCCTTTCGCAAATACACAGAGATTTAGAGAAACCTATTGTGATGCAAACAATTCGCTAATTTAATGTTTATGACTTCTCGTTAATCTTTCACCTTGAACACGATACACACGTAGCATACGTTAATGGCAATGCCGGATCGCAATCGGTGACATACGTATCATTTTAATAATAAAGTAGCAAACAAGTTAAGCGTTTAAAGGTTGCAGTTGCTGGTAAACATTAACACCCGAGGAGCTTCAATTCCATCTTCCGTGAAGCGGCCCGATAATAGTAGGATTCTGATGTAAATTCTATTTTAATCTTGATAGTTACAAAAAATACGGTAGGCCCAGCTCTCAAGCCAAGTTCCAGGAAACTGCTTGTTAAACGAGATCGCACCATCGTTAAATTTAATAGGTGGCAATATGCTGAATATTTCTTCTTGGTTTTATGATATAGTTGTCAAATGGGTAACCTTTTTTTTTTTTTTTTTTTTTTTTTTTTTTTCCGTGCGGAAATCCCCTCGGATACCACCTGTCGGTGGCATGTCGGACTCGAACCGACTAAAACCGCACGCCTTCGCCGGGTACTAATAGCCGGGGAACCAGGTATACCCTAGAAAGGAAGGCCCTGGTGCCCCGACATACCTCGGGTCATCCACAGACGAGTAGACGACCCCCGCCCCGTGTGGGAACCCCATGTTCCCTGTGCTCCCTGGAAGCGAGCGCGCTTCGCAACGCGCTCGCCGCCACCCCAGCCTGCTTCTGCTAGGGTGACAGATGGCCTCACCTGTCACCCCCAGGCCTGCGCTTATGGAGGACGGAGGTCGTTCTGCGACCTCCGGCGCCTGAGTCGCCTGCGCTGCCTGGCCCGTGCCCGGGCCTGGCGGGCCGGGAGAGTTCTAAACCTCTCCCGGAATCAAATGGGTAACCTGCTTTTAAGTGACACCTAAAACAAAACTCCAAAAATAACAATAATTGTAACTACATTATATTCATTTCATTTTACTTAGGAGAACTCAAATAAATATTTTGATCGTTGTTTGTTATTCACAGGTATATGTTAAGTTAGATTTGAAGTGGGTAGGTACCTACCTACCTTCTTGCGTGGTAAACACATAGATCACATACCTACATATAGATGAGTAGAAAAAGTAAGTTGATTATTGAGTTTAGTTATTGTATGTTCATTTATTTTTTTACTTTTTAGTGCATATTAATTTGATTTGGAATAGTGTTTTCTGAAGTCGGTTTTTTTTTTGTTAAAATTTTTTGTTTATTTTTTGATTTGTAGTGAATCTGAAGTACACTTACTAATTTGTCTGAATATGGGTAGACCTAATAAACGTGCAGCTCAAATGAGACAGCGCCGTTTGAATGAAACAAAGGGAGTCAGGGAGAAATGCCTATCTCAACAGAGGCAATCTACCTCGAGAACAATTTCAAAAGAGAGATCATTATATTCGACTACGACAATGACTTCCGTTACTGTCCCTGTGGTTATGGATTAAGAATACAGAATGTCACAACCCCTTTTAACCCCATGGGTGTCGCAAGAGTCGACTGAGGGAGCAAACTACGCAGGACAACAGCACTGCAAATAGAAGGAAAACTTGAAATAAACCCTATACCAGCGCATCTGGCCAGCGTGGTATAGTAGGCCAAATCCTCTTTTCTAAAGAGAGGCCTTTGTCCAGCGGTAGCTTATTAAAGGCTGTTGCTGACGACAATTACTTGACCATAACGACGTTACTGTAGGTGACTCAAATATCCGGATAGCCTATAAAAGATTCAGGCGAGTATCGTTAATTTGCTCCTAAGAATGGAAGAGTTCCGTTACTTTGTCGTGGATCCCATGATCAGAACCTAACCGAACTCTCATCAAATTACCCTTAAAGTACATCCATTCCAATAAAAAATCGAAAGAATAATCGAAATCGGTTTGCGTGATATTGAGTTATTCGTCTATTTGTCGCGAACATACTAAATACAAATGGAAGACTTATATGGTTTTCTCATGGATGCCATTATCAGAACTGAACCAAATTAAAATGGGACCACATGGGAAGTACCAGCTTTCAAATAAAAAAAGAATCATCAAAATCGATTAACCTAGTCAAAAGTTCTGAGGTAACAAACATAAAAAAAAAATACAGTCGAATTGAGAACCTCCTCCTTTTTTTGAAGTCGGTTAAAAATATGGTGTGGGCTGATGTGTCTTTTATTATTATTATTTATTCTATTTTTTATGTTTCTCTTCCTTTTCTCTTTAATTAGTTTTTTTTCTTAATCTTGTTTTCTCTTCATTGTATTTTTACCTTTTAGTCCTTAATAACGGACATAATGGCACACATAAAAACAATGTTGTATTATATTAATTAATGCCATTGTATCTATCTGTGAATTGCAAAAGAGTGGCCATGAGTTTGTTTGCCCTTTCTTCTCATAAGGCTCAACCCCTTAGAAACATTCAGTTGATCGGCACAGGCATATCATAGATTTTGTATAGGTTTAATTTTTATTAAATTTATTTTCTTACCATTTGACAAAAAAGAGATGGTTGCTTTTGTGTTGATCAAATCAAATCAAACAGTTTTAAAAAAAATATGAAATAAAGAGAGTTTGAGTTGAGTTTGAGTTTAAGTAAGAGTAAATCGAAAGTATTCCATTTGATGAAGATTATGTTAAAAAACTTAGTTAAATATATGTAAATAGAGGTTAAAATAATAAAGTAAATAAATCAAGATCGCAGTGGGTTCTTTGACAGGAACCGATGCAGGGTAAATAATGATTTTATTAGTACATGTTGCTTAGAATAAATGGGAAATGAGTATAAGATTACTCGATACGTCGTTAATAACATCATCTAAGTCAGTCCGCACTTAGCCGCACATTCAGTCCGGCGATTTGAGGCTTTCATAAACATTTAATCACGCTAAAAGTTATGGTGAACCAACCAAAGCTAAGTCCAATCTAAAAAGAAATCTATTTATTTATTTATATCTTTATTGTATACAGTCAACACATAAGTTACTTACAAATATATAGACGTAATGATCGGCGGTCTTAATATTTAAAAATATCAACAAAAGCATTCATACTTGTAAAGGAAGTAAGTTCATTAAGTACAATCGATATAATATTATGATAATTTCCATGGATCAATAACCGACCCGTTAATTTTACTCATATTTTTAACATCCGTTTTGATACAATACACGTGTTTGCCTTCCAACTTGATTATTTCTCAAATAAATACAGAAGGACACAGGATTTAAGAAAAGTAAACGAATTTTACATATCGAATATATCTTTCTTAAGTTAGTATTTATTCCACAGCATTTAACAAAATAGCATGTATTAAGACTACTTAAACCCTAGAACATCCAGTGATGTATCTAGATTTTCAAGGTAAAAAGCCTTTTTAGAAACCCATTGAGGCATGCTTCATTTGTTTAAAGACTCTCTCTTAGTACTCATAATACCAGTACTAAAGCTTTGAAATCCATAAGAATCTCGTTTATAGCGCATTAACCTTGTAATATGCAATTTCCTTCTTTCATCCCACAAGATAGCAACACACTACCTAGGTATTTCAGAGAAATAGTTTCTTTCGTTTTTCCAGATTTCATACATATAAACACGCCATTTATTTTCTAGGTTGTTCATACAAACCCCGCCTGCAATCATTGCTGCCATGCTGGCAGGTGAGGAAGGCTGGGGGGCAGTGGTCTCTTTCTGTGAAGCAGTAATGCTGCAGAAAGAGACTGCCTAACGGGATCGGTAGAGGGCCGATCATTAGCGAAGAAGATGTCGGCGGCGGTACGAGACGCCGACGGGACCACGGGCTGCCAGAGAGAGGGGACCTCTGGTGGTAGATTAATTGCTGTGATAGGAAAATGGATGGCGGTCTGATCGGCACTAAAAATGGGATCTGGACAATGAACAAGGACATATTGTGTAAGTAGCTAATGAGTTTTACGGGTATATGAAAAGTATTAAAGCATGTTTTTATACTTTAAGAAATATGAAATCTATTTCAAGTTTCTGTGGTCGTTTTATCTAAACTATTGGATTATTTTATAAGCCAATATAAATATATCATAAAAGAATTGAAAACTACATAATTTTTACCTTTCTTAAGTTCTCATACTCGATTTGTTCTTACATTGAAATTAATGAAAAATTTCTGAAATATGTAAATATTGATAAATACACATTGATGAGTGTACACCTAATTAACGCTTTGGTCAGAATGCAATCATAAAAGTTTTCTATTATTCACATACAATTTATTTATTTCCAACATTCGAACTTTCTACTTCGAATTACTAAAGCGAATAATGATGTCACATAATGAACAACATACCTCGCGCGCGCTATTGTAGTCTGAATATATCTTTCGTACCTTCAAAACAAAACATTGATGAATAAATACATCCAGTACGATGTATATATAAGCACGCGTAGGGGTGGCATTGAATAGGTTGAGTGCCTATTCACGACACGAACCCTTTATGGCGTGATTTCTGTTATTTATCCATATTATGAACTGCGAACGTGTGAACATTATATTTAGTTATCCGCTTGTGAGTCCTGATAATATCTCAGACTTGAAAATGGGGCTAGGTAAAATCCATGTTTTTATTAACTTGTACTTTAGATGTCGAATAGAAATGAAGCTTTGAATGTTTTGCAGTTTAGACAGTACTCTAATTTGATATCTCGGAGCTGATATTATGATGGAACCAAGTTGTGGATATCGTAAATCTTTAGTGGGTCATACTAAATCTCTCGAGTTTGAGCTAAAATGGTTTCACGAGTCCAACGGCTACATAGTTCATTGTTTACAATGGCTTCACGAAGGAGGCAGGTGTTGGATGCTGTAACTATATTACTTCTTAATTTAAAGCGTGTTTAACATTTTTCATTAGCTTGGTATGTATGTATCTATGTAACGGAATCTTTGAACGAGATTTTCACCCACTCTTAACACGTCGGAT